CTCTAGGTTCAGTAGAGACCCCATCTCAAAAAATAAGGAAAGTAGTGCTGGAGAGATGGCTCAGCAGTTAAGAGCACTGGCTGCTCTTGCAGAGGACCTGGCTTCAGTTCTCAGCACCCACGTGGTCACTAACAACCAACCATAACTTCAGTTCCAGGGAATCTGATGCCCTCTTTTGGCACTTACATACATGCAGGCAACATACTCATACACAGTTTTTTTTTTCAGTCAAAAATAAAGAGAGGATTAGAGGAAGACACCTGACATCACCCTCTGGCCTCCACATGCATGTGAACAGACTAGCACTCCAGCACAGACATGCACACACACATACACCAAAACCAACAAACAAAAAGGACAGTTTAAAGTGCTGGTATTCATTAACTAAGGCCACAGAAAGAGCCAGGCAAGTGAGGGGCACTGAAGTTTAAACTCCATGAGTTTTGAAATAATCTTGACCTTTGGACCTGAGAGGGTTAAATCAGCTAGGAGAGGAAAGACCAAAAACAAAGAGAAGTGAGAACCACAATTTATGGAGGAAAGGACTAGCTCAACTCTTGTTACTACTAATCACACATCGGAAAAGGATTTTCTGTTTTGTTCTTATTTTTCTTTGTTTCTATTACATTGTGTGTGTGTGTGTGTGTGTGTGTGTGTGTGTGCGTGTGTGTGTCCTGAGAGGGTTAAATCAGCTAGGAGAGGAAAGACCAAAAACAAAGAGAAGTGAGAACCACAATTTATGGAGGAAAGGACTAGCTCAACTCTTGTTACTACTAATCACACATCAGAAAAGGATTTTCTGTTTTGTTCTTATTTTTCTTTGTTTCTATTACATTTTGTGTGTGTGTGTGTGTGTGTGTGTGTGTGCGTGTGTGTGTGCGTGTGTGTTGTGGGTGTGTCCATATGGAGGTCAGAGGACAATATTTGGGAGTCAGTTCTCTCTTTCCACCATGTAGGTCCTAGGGTTTGAATTCAGGTTGCAAGCCCTGATGGGAAGCTCCTTTACCCACTGAGCCATCTTGTCAACCCCTTATTAGTTATTTCGTTTTGTTATTTTGAGACAGAGTTTCACTATGTATCCCTGGCTGGTTATATAGACTAGACCAGACTGGCCTCAACCTCACAGAGATCCACTTGCTTCTGCCTCCTGAATGCTGGGATTAAAGGCATACATCATCATGATGAGCCTCCTTACTGATTTTTTTTTTTTTTGTCTTTTTGAGATAGGGTCTTCCTATAGCCCCAGCTGGCCTGGAAGTTGCTACATAGACCAGGCTGGCCTTGAACTCAGAGATTCTGCCTGCTTCTGCCTCCAGAGTGCTGGGATTAAAGTCGTGTGCCACCATGCCCACGTAGTACTGATTTTTTTAAAGTTAGCATACAAAGTAGTAGGTTTCATTATGACATTAAAATACTTTATGTATTTATTTTTATTTTATATATATGAGTGTATTGCCTGCATGTATATAAGTGCACCTGTGTTGTGCAATGTCCATGAAGGTCAGAAGAGGGCGTCGGATCTCCTGCAACTTGGTCTGGTACAGTGGTACCCACCTATAATCTCTCAGCCCTTGGGAAGTAGAGGCAGGAGGATCAGGAGTTCAGGGTCATCCTCAGCTACATAGGGATTTTAAGGCCAGCCAGAGCTACATGAGACCTTGTCTTAAAAAATTATTTATGGGACTGGAGAGATGGCTCAGTGATTAAGAGTACTGGCTGCCCTTGCAGAGAATCTGAGTTCAATTTCCAGCACCTACATGGTGGCTAACAACCATCTGTAACTCCAGTTCCAGGGAATCTGACACCTTCTTCTGACCTCTGCGGGCACTGTGTGCACATGGTGTACTTACATACATGCAGGCAAAACACTCAAATAAATCTATCAAAATTATCTGTTTATTTATTTAGGGAGGTGGAATTGAGTCTGTGCCACAGTGCACATGTGGGGGTCACACAACTTGTGAGAGTCATTTCTCTTCCACCATGTGTATCCAGGGATTTGATCTCAAATTGTCAGACTTGGAGCCTTTTCCTGCTGAGCTATATCATCTGCCCTCTAAATTTCCTAACGCTGAGGAGAGGTTGATTTGAGATTTATTTGGGTCTCTCTGGGACAAGCATTGAAGTGAGGCTACCATCACCTGCAGCAGGCAACTGAACAGACACTTAGCAGGAAAGTTGTTTCTGGTGGTCTAAGGGTGGAAGGAATGATCTCATACCCACAGGATAAATGGAGGGCACTTCCTGAGAGCAGAGTGAAGATCTCAGGCGTCACTTGCATGGAAAGGGGAAATCATGGGATTTTCATCATATTTTTGTTCTGTTTTGAAGCTGGCTATGTAACCCTGTCTGGCCCTGAAACCTGCCGCTACTTCTCTGCCAACTTCTGGGATGACAGGTGTGCATCACCACACCAGGGTTTATGTAGTGCTGGGGATGGAACCCAGGGCTTCCTGTGTGCTAGGCAAATGCTCTACTGAGCTTTAGGCCAGTCCAATGGTTATTTTTTATTTTAAAAAGATTTTATTTTATGTGTATGAATGTCTTGCTTGCATGTATGTAAATGCACCACGTGTGTGCAATGCCTGCAGAGACCAGAAGAGGGTGTCAGATTCCCTGGAACTGGAGTTACAGACAGTGAGTGCTGGGAACCAAACCCAGGTCGTCCTGCAAGAGCAGCCAGTGCTCTAAACTGCTGAGCCAGTTCTCCAGCTCTATTCAATAATCTTTTTTTTTTTAAGTTCACACTACATAGCAAGAATTAGATAGCAGGCTGGAGCTGCAGCACCATGGTTGGATGCTTTCTACCCTCCCACAAGTTCAGTGGGCTGTTTCGTCTCTTCAGCACTGGGTCCCGTTCAGCCCCTCCCTCCACCTCCCCTCATCTCATCTCCCCCAGTGTTGCCATCTCTACCTCTGAGGCATCTCTGCATGCTAATGAGCTGTACCTCTCAGGAAATGAGAATTTTTAAGCAATAAGAGCTTGAGGCTGATGAGGGCAGAGCCTAAGGCGAAACAGAAGACATGACTCAGAAAGGCTAGGGGTCCGGGTGCCGAATGATAGGTACAAAAAAGAGGGGTGGGGGCTGTGGATAAGAGCTGGAGAGCCTGAGTCTGGATGGGAAAGGAGGGGGGATTCCCAGCTCCAGCCGGTCAGCCTGTCTCCAGCCAAGCAGGCTGTTTCCTGCCCTGGCTGACCCTCCACCCCAGAGCAGGACCTAGGCAGGGTAATGAGGAAGGGCAGGGGTGTGGTGAGCAGTACTTGGTGCAGGAAGATAAGCGCAGGGGACAAGAGGTCATCACGGGTCTCCTCTATCCTCTGGGTGGTGGTCAGGGTACTTGGCAGACCCCCAGGTGGCCCAGACTCCTCCTCCCTCCAAGGGTCCAGACTCTGCAGTAATTCCCTTTAAATCAAAGTTTCCTTCCAGCACATCTCTAGGGACAGCCTTGGGTAACAGTGCCTCTGTCTCCCATCCACCCTGTGACCCCTACCCACTACAGGTGCCCTGAAGTAGGTGGGGGGGGAGCACAGTTTTCCTGAACTCCCCCTCCCCCGTACTGATGGATGGATGGGGTTGGCAAATGAGAGGAAGAGCCCCTCCCAGTCATCCCAAGAGCCCCAGGGAGCCAGAAGGGAAACAGCTTCAGGAAAGACAGCAGCAACAAGTCCCTACCCCCACTCGAGGTCAAGGCTATAGACTCTGGGGAGCACCTCCCCGAAAAAAAGATGAGAGTGAAATGAAGCAATTTGGGAATCCCTTCAGACCCCTCACCCTTCTTCCACATGCCTAGCTTTGTTTATTTCATTTTTATTTTTATTTTTTTGAGAAAGGGTCTCATTATGTAGCCTTGGCTGATCTGGAACTTGCAATGTAGACCAGTCTGGTCTTGAACTCACAGAGATCACTCTGCCTCTGCCTCCTAAATACTGGGATTAAAGGTGTCTAGCTACCTTTTACTTTATGCTTTCTTCTTCGGTTTTTCTATGCACCCCTTGGTCTTAAATGTCTCACTCTCTCCCACCTTTCCCTTTCTGTCCGTTCTCAGCGCTGCATCTGCAGTACAGTGGATCTCCAGAACTTAATGTGATGTCGAGGAAATGATGGTGTGAATGTTCGTTTCAGAAGGTATCCACCATGGGATTGTGCCTAGGGGTGGGGGTGGGGTCCAGGAAAGCAGGAGAAACCTTTGATTTAAAGGTAATTAGAAGTTGGGCTTGGTGGCTCAGCCTTTAATCCCAGCAGAGGCAGGTGGATCTCTGTGAGATTGAGGCTAGCCTGGTCTACATAGCGAGTTCCAGGACAGCTGGGGCTCCAGGGAGACCCGGTACGGGGAGGGGCAAAAAAAAAAACTTATTTGGGAGGGAGAGGGGGAGGGAGGGAGGGAGGGAGGGAATGGATGCAGTCTGAGAGCTCTGAGGTAGGAGAAGTTGGGGGCACCGGGCAGCCTCAGCCATGCACCCCTCAAAAACATGGATCTGTCCCTCTTCTTCCGAATGCAACCCGTTGCTTCAGTCGGGGGCAGTAGGCGCAGCCAGATGTGGAACCTCACGTCCCGCTGCCAGGTCAAAGCAGGCTTTGTGTGGTGTGTGCACATTTACGCGCACATCTGTGAGGCCCTTCCAGTGGCTGAGTGTCGTTTCTCTGCTCTCGGGTGCCTGCTGGGTTCAGGCCTGTCCCGAGGGTAGCTGAGCTCTGGTCCCAATATGCGCAGTCCCGGGCAGGACTCACCGGCCACGGTGCCCGCCTGGGCGGTCCTGGGGCTCCACGCGTGCCGCCCCTCCCCCTCCTGCAAACTTTCTCCCAACTTCCCGACTTTGCTCAGATCGGCTCCCCCCACTCCATGACTATGAATTATTCAGCAGCTTAGGAGCCAATCAGCTAGCATGCCCCGTCCCCCCACCCCCAACCCCGCTGAGGAGCCTGGGCTGGAGGGTTAGGGATGGGTGGGAAGGAGGAGGGATTGTCCCCGCCTCCCGCGCTCCCCTCCCTCCACCGCCCAGTCTCAGCCCTGCCCATCCCGGTCCCAGCCTGTCTCCCTCCCTCCCGCTCGCTCGCTCGGTGCTGGGTCCCTGCAGCCGCTACCACTCTCCCTACCCGCCACCGGCGCACCGAGCCCAGCGGCGTGAGCCGAGCCACCAGCCACTCCAGGGAGGGGGGGAGACCGTGAGCAATCGGCCCACCCCAACCAACCGGGGCGGGATCCCCTGAAACTCCGGAGGGACCCCTGACTCTCAGCCACGTCTGGATCTCCGCCCGCCCGGCGACGGCCACTGCCAGGACGTCCCCCCTGCAGGTTGGCCTGTCCGCGCGCGCTGCAGGGACGCCGGGACCACACCTGAGCCCTGCGCGCCCGCATGGGCCACCGCTGAGGGACCCCGGACGGAGAGTGCAGCGAGCGGAGTCGGTGTGCACCCGCCCAGGGGAGGGTCAGACCTGGGGGGGCTAGGGCCCCCCAAGCTCGGATCGGATCCAACCAAAGTGAGGCGGCGCCATGGAGCTCCGGGCGCTGCTGTGCTGGGCTTCGGTCGCTACCGCTTTAGAAGGTGAGTTTTTGGGGGCGTACCCCTGCTATCTTGGGGGTCCCCAAAGTTGGGCCTTAGAATGTAAAAGTCGATCTTTCCCTATCCCAACCCTGGCACCCCCTAAACACTTCGGACCAATAGTGCTGGAACAGGAGGGGGGCGGGGAGGAGACAGCCTGGCGGGGAGTGGAGTTTTCTTTTGTTTGGGAAAAGAGATGGAGACCGGGGACATTCCCCTATCCCAGCTCCCTAAACTCTCATCCCCGATGCCAAACGCCCTTGGCAACTTTTCTTTTCCTCCCCACCCCAATCTTCAAGACTATCTTCAAAGGTTCTGTCCCATTTCCCAGCCCTGGCTAAACGCTAGGGAAAAGTTTGTCAAAGGCCAACTTGCAGACTTGGGAGAACTCTGCTAGGCCGTAAAACAACCCCCAATGCCAATTCCTTACCATTCACACCTGGACCCTTCGCATTCACAGCTCCATACCCCTGTCAGGATGCCCTCCCCCAACCCATCTGCAGTTACAACTAACCCTAAACTCCAAATGGCTGGCCAGACCACTGACCTCGTGCAGCTCCCTTTCCTTGTTTTCCCCCATGCTGTACCCCAGTTTTTAAGATGCCCTAGATTACCCTAACTTTGCTGGAGCCCTTGGCTTTCTCCCAGCCGTACAAGCCAAGTAGAAACTGTCCAATATGGCCCCGTGTAGCCCTAATTCACCCCAGCTGGCCACCTCCTAGTTGCTTCAGATTTCTAGTTTTTTTTCCCTTCTGTATTCCCCTCCAAATGTTTCTTCAAACCCTGTGAGCCTCTCTCTCCTGGTTCTCTTGGGGCACCCCGGTGGTATAAACCCTCCTTCTGCCTTTCCTAATCTCCTTTCAATGAGCTTGCCCCCCCCCACTTTGCTGCTTAGAATCAAAGGGGTATGTGGGGGGAGGGAAGGGGGGTTCCTAAAGGGAAAACCCTGCTCTCTCCAGGCTGGGTAGTGCTCCTCTGGGCAGATCAAAGTGAGAGGATGGAAAAGGGAGGTGAGGGAAGGCTTGGGCCCCTGGAAAGAGGAAGCCAAATGGGCAAAAAAAAATCTAACAAGTGTGTCCAGGAGGGAAAGAAAGATGCCAACAGGAAATGCCCGTTCTCAGAGTCTGTTGCCTGGGTGTTTCCCAAGCCCACCTGTGCCAAATGCATTTATTTTGTGTGTGATTTTCATGAGCTGTAGCCTTGTGGGAGCAAGTTCTTGCCTCACCCCATTTTACACTTGAAAGACTGAAGCTTCAGAAATGTTAAGTAGTTTATCCAAGGCCACGTGCCCCTTGGTTGGTGTAAACCCGGATACTGCAGTGGGGAACCTAGAAAAGGACTTTGAACATACCTGGGAGGGATGGAGGTGAGAGTAGGCCTGGGAACTGACAGATCCTAGTGAGCGGGAAGCTGAGAGTTCTGAGATGGAGGGAGAGAAAGTGAGCCTGCACCCAGCTCAGCGTGCCAGAGAGCTGCCCCACAGCAGAGACAGTGTATAAATTGGAGACAGGAAAACACTATCCAGGCTGGAACAATGGAGGGTGGAGACGGCTGCCTCTAGCCACCCCCTTCCCAGAACCCTGGGCATCCTGTCCCCTGTGTGCTCTGCTGTCTCCTACCACCCATGCAAGGTCCCCAGACTTTGCCTCCAGCTGGCCAGGTTTCTGCCTGCCCCCTGCCCTCTGGACATCATTTGGTTATTTGAGTTGGTGTGTCACCCACTCCACCTTCTCTCCATCCGTTCTTCCCGGCAGCACTTGGGGAGGGCGGGACATAGTCCCAGGTGTTCTGTTGGATCCCCTAGGGCCACACTCTCCACACTGATCAAGTCTCCAGCTCCCCACGTTGTCCCATCCTTTCCTTGTGTGTGGGGATTCCCCAGCCCTCCCTCCACTTTGTATTTCTGTGTGGGAGGCTCTGCCTTGTTCCTAATTTTATACTTGGTCAGTACCCTGTCCCCTCTGCCTAAATGATCCCTGATCCCTGCCAGGTGTGTTCACACCCCCCTCCAGCACACCTCTAAAATCTCCTCTTTTCCTTCTATAACCAACTCCAGATGTGGTGCAGGCTCAGGGCAGGAACCCAAGCGTCCAGGCCTCCAGTACTTCCTCTTGTGAAGACAGCAAATGGGGGAGGGGGTCATGCCTCAGGCTAAGCCATCACCCTGAAGGAGGGAAGCTGAGGACTGGAGTGTCTGGTGTGAAAAGGGGGTGGGGACTGGGAAGAGGGACAGAATTGGGATGTTTGCCAACTCTGGCACTGAGGATAGGGAATTCTGAGCCTGAAACAAGCCTGTAAGGAACCAAGGCCAGTGCCAACAGCTCTCTGTCCTGATCGGGCCAAGGCCAGGACAGAGTTATCCTAGTTTTTTGTTTTGGAGACAGGATCTCATGTAGCCCAGGCTGGCCACAAACTCAACATGTAGCTGAGGCTGGCCTTGAACTTCGAATCTTTTTGCCTCCACCTACCAAGTGCTGGGATTACAGGAGTGTGCTATCCCGCTTAGTTCTCTCCTTCCTTCCTCCCTTCCTTCCTTCCTTCCTTCCTTCCTTCCTTCCTTCCTGCTGGGGATTATAGCCAAGGCCTGAGCATGTTAGGCAAGCACTCTACTGATGAGCCATACCCCCAGACCCTCATTGATAAATTGGAGAAAGCTTACATTCTTAAGGCCTTCTGAGTTCTGGAACTTTAACTTCTAACTTGGGTCTCCTCCCTCCTCCAGGGCACAGCCCCTCAGGGAACACCCCAGTGCCAGCCACCTGTTAGTGGTAGAGTTGGTACTGGGAACAAGAGGCATGAAATCTAAGGGTAGTGGGCTGGTGAAGTGGCTCAGTAAGTGAAGGTGCTTGTCTCTAAGCCTGATGACCTGAGTTTGATCCCAGGATCCACTTGGTGGAAGGAAAGAACCAACTCACACAAGTTTTCCTCTGACTTCCGTACATATGCTGTGGTACTTACACACACATACACACAAATGTAAAAATTGTTTTAAAACTATTTTAAGATTTCACTTATTTGTGTGTGTGTGTGTGTGTGTGTGTGTGTGTGTGTGTGTGAGTGATGACATACCTATGGAGGGAAGAGGACAACTTGTGGGATTTGGTTCTCTCTTTCTACTACGTCGGTCCCAGGGATGGAACTCAAGTCATCAGCCTTGACAGTGAGCACCCTTACTTGCTGAGCCATCCTCTAGCCCAAGAAAAGAAATCTTGCTTCCCCCTGAATCCAACTTGGAACTAGAAGGCTAACCTTGTGGGAGTTGATTCTTTCTTTGTACCATATGGGTTCTGGGGATCTAACTCAGGTCTTTAGGCTTGGAGGCAAGCACTTTTACCGATGAGCCATTTGGCTGGCCCATTGCTCTTAGATTTCTGATGTTCCTGTTTCTCCCTACACCTCCCCCAAAGGGCTGACTTTATCTTTCTCTGTGTTAGAGACTCTACTGAATACAAAACTGGAAACCGCAGATCTGAAATGGGTGACATACCCACAAGCGGATGGTCAGGTAAGAACCCCCCGCCGCCCGCCTTGAGTTCCTTGTTTCCTGAAGCTGCCTCAATCCTAGCTAGAGCCCCTGGCTGATGACGCCCTTCTCTGCAGTGGGAGGAGCTGAGTGGTTTGGATGAGGAACAACACAGCGTGCGCACCTATGAGGTGTGCGACGTGGCACGCTCTGGAGGCCAGGCACGCTGGCTGCGCACCGGCTGGGTACCGCGGAGTGGAGCCGTGCATGTGTATGCCACACTGCGCTTCACCATGATGGAGTGTCTATCCCTGCCACGGGCCAGTCGATCCTGCAAAGAGACCTTCACAGTGTTCTACTATGAAAGCGAAGCTGATACAGCCACAGCCCACACACCGGCCTGGATGGAGAACCCCTACATTAAGGTATCCACGGTTGGGGTCCAGCAACCTTCACTTGGGCTTGGCGGAGGATGAGATGCTAGGAGAGCCTTTGGTAGGACCCTTGGTGGCTAGAAGCAGCAGGCTTAAGCCTAGGAAGAAGAGAGATGGTGGGTGGGTGAATAGAACGGAGTACAGGTGCTGTGTCTTCTCTTCCCATTTTCCTATCAGACCACCCACACCACTGGAACTGTGTATTGCCTATTATTTCCCTCTGGCCCTTCTCTCTGGCTCCTCCACACACCAATATTATTATTATTATTATTATTATTCTTATTATTATTATTATTTGGAGACAAGCTCCCACTATGCAGCCCTGGCTGACCTAGAACTGCTATGTAGACAAGCTGGCTTTGATTCACCAGCTGCTGCTTCCTAAATGCTGGATTAAAGGTGTAAGCCACCATGTCTGACCGCTTATTATTTATTTATTTATTTTTGACTTATTTATTTTTATTTTATGTGGATGAGTGGCTTGCTTATATTTAGGTAAGTGCGCCATGTGCATACAATATCCACAGAAGCCAGAAGAGGGTGTCAGATCCCCTGGAACTGAAGTTTCAGATAAGCAGTAGCAAGTGTTGTTAACCACTGAGCCATCTTTCCAGCCCATTTGTTTTTTAAAGATGAGGTCCCATGTAGCTCAGGTTGGCCTTAAACTCCCTACATAGCCAAAGACTACTGATCCTCCTGCCTCTACCTCCTGAAAGCTAGAATTACAGACATGTGTCACCATGCTGGGTTTATACTGAGTACATTCCTACCCATAAAAGATAAATTTTTATTTTTATGAGTCTCCACTCCAAATTAGCCATTGATTTCCCATGGAGTGTTGCCATTCTAGGTGTCACAAGAATTAGGGCTGGAAGATGACTCAGTGGTTAAGAGCATTGCTGCTCTTGCAGAGGACCTAGGTTCAGTTCTCAGTACCCACATGTGGCTAACCATTTCTTAATTCCTGTTCCAGGGAATCCAACATCCTTTTCTGGCTTCCACGAGTATTGCATGACACAGACAAAACACTCATACACATAAAATTAAAATGAATAAATGAATAATTATTTAACATCTTAGAAGTCACTGGTGCCTACTAAGCTGATGGAGTGTCCTTGGCTTGGTCCTGCCCCATATTGGTCATCTGCCTGTCACTTCTATAATTCTTTCATTCTGTCTCCTTGGCTCTGAGGTCATGGTGTGAGTGTCCATGAACATTTGCAGAGCAAATGAATGATTTGGAAAGTAAGGCAGGACAGAGAGGTTAAACACATCATAGGTCAGCAAAGATTAATGGACAGCTTTGGGGCCTGCAGAAAAGCACATATTGCACTGTGGATGTAGCTGTTTGCTGAGTGCTTGCCTAGCGTGCACAGAGCCTTCAGCTCCATCCCAGCAATGAATAAACCAAATGGAGTGGCTTGTGTCTGTCGTCCCAGCACTCAAGAAGTGGAGGCAGAAGGATCGGTTCAAGGTCATCCTTGGCTACATAGAAAATTTATGGTCACCCAGGTCACATAAGACATATATATATATAAAGTGGCCAGGTGTGGTAGTTCATACCTTTAATCTCAGCACTCAGGAAGTAGAGGCAGGTGGATCTCTGTGAGATCTAGGACAGCCTGGTCTACATAGTCCCAGGACAGTTGGGACTACAGGGAGACCCTGTCTCAAAACTGGAAAAAAAGTGCATATTGGAGAAGGTTCTGGAACAGGGGCTACAATCATAGAGAAGGGATGGGGATGGTGGCAGTGAGTCTGGTTCTCCCGGCAGGTGGATACAGTGGCTGCCGAGCACCTAACCCGGAAGCGCCCTGGAGCAGAAGCAACTGGGAAGGTCAACATCAAGACGCTGCGCCTGGGTCCGCTCAGCAAAGCTGGTTTTTACCTCGCTTTCCAGGACCAGGGTGCCTGCATGGCCTTGCTCTCTCTGCACCTATTCTACAAGAAGTGTTCCCAGCTGACTATGAACTTGACCTACTTCCCAGAGACAGTGCCTCGGGAGCTCGTGGTACCTGTGGCAGGGAGCTGTGTGGCTGACGCCGTCCCTGCCCCTGGCCCCAGCCCCAGTCTCTACTGCCGGGAAGATGGACAGTGGGCTGAGCAACCTGTCACAGGCTGCAGCTGTGCCCCAGGATTCGAGGCTGCTGAGGGAAACAAAATATGTAGAGGTGAGGACTGGCACACCCCATGAAGTTTGCAGGTCTGTGGGGTGGAGCTGCCCTGCGTGACACCCTTGGTCTGACCCCTTAAGTTGTTTTTGTTATTAAACTTTGGGTTTTATTCTAAATGTAGTAGGAAACAATATTTAGAATTTAAAACACTATTTTATTTTATGTGTGAGTGTATTGCCTGCATATAATGCACCTGTGCTGCGCAATGGCATAGGAGGGCAGAAGAGGGCATTGGATTCCCCTGGAACTGGAGTTATGGATGGTTGTTAGCCACCATATGGGTGCTGGGAATCAAACCCAGGTCCTCTGCAAGATACTCTTAACCACTGAGCCATCTCTCCAGCCCCTAGGATTTTTTTAAAATTTATTTTTATTGTTAATTATATGTCTGTTTGTGGGTATGGATACGTGAGTTTCAGTGCCTGCAGAAGCCAGAAGAGGGAGTTAGAGCCTCTGGAGCTGGAATTACAGGTGGCTGCCCAATGCGGGTGCTGGGACCCAAACTCTAATCCTTTACAAGAGCAGTACACTTGTATTTTTATTTAATGTGTATGAGTGTTTTGCCTGCATGTATATAAGTGTACCTTGTGTTGTGCAGTGCTCACAGAGGCCAGAAGAGGTGTCGGATCCCCTGGAACTGGAGTTATGTTTCTTAGCCACCAACTGGGTGCTGGGAACTGAACCTCGGTCCTCTGCAAGAGCATCTAGTGCTCTTAACTGCTGAGCCAACTCTCCAGTCCCAGTATTTAGAATTTTAATTACATTGATTGGTGATTGATTATGGGGTGGCACACTTGCCATGGTACACATGTGAAGGCCAGAGAACAACTTTCAGTTCTCACCTTCCATCATGTGGGTTCTGGAACTGAACTGAAGTTGCAGGCTTGGCAGCAAGCACCTTTACCCACTGAGCCATCTCGCTAGTCCACCCCTTAAGTTTTTCCACTTCTGGACATACCCTATTCTTTGGGCACTCAGTTACTAGAAGACCTAGAAAAGAGAGTCCTACACAGAGTTATGAGCCTGTCCTCCTTTCTGGACCTTTCTTCTGAACTTTGCCCACCTTCTCTTCTTTTTGGACACTCCTGAAGCTGGCCTGGGTGGCAAGTCTGTTGTTGAACCAGGTGGGTTGCGTTGTTACGCTTGGGACAAGGAGTTTATGATCTCCATCTTGCATGTTGGGAGTTTCCTCTGATTTACTGACACTAAGCTGTCACTTGCTCTATCTCTGGAATTGGCTTCCTTCTTTGTGGTACTGGCATTGAACACGGCAGGCAAGCGTTCTCTGACCTACAGCCTCAGCCTTTTTTGCTTTTGTATTTGTGTTGTTTTTTTATTTTTTGAAAAATTGTGTGTTTTGCCTGCATGTATGTAAGTGAACCATGTGCATGCAGTGCCCTCAGAGGCCAGAAGGGGACGTTGGATCCCCTGGAACTGGAATTACAGATGGTTATTAGCTGCCATGTGGGTGCTGGGAACTGAACCCAGGTCCTCGGCAAGAGCAGCTTGAAGGTAAACACCTTTAATTGCTGAGCCAGGTCTTCATACACCAAACACTACCCACAGAACCCTCTCCCCAGCCCATTATTTATTTTTGAGATTGGGCTTCAGGTAGCCTAGGCTGGTCTTAGGTTTTCCATGTAGCTGAGGATGTCCTTGAACTCCTGATCTTCTGCCTTTCCCTCCTAAGTGCTTGAAGTGCAGATATGTGCCTGACTCATTGTTTTTTGTTTTTAATAGTTGTTTTGGTTTTTTGGTTGTTGGTGTTTTTCGTTTGTTTTGATTTTTGGTCTTTTTGAGACAGGGTCTCCCTATAGCCCCGGCTGGCCTGGAACTCGCTATGTAGACCAGGCTGGCCCTGAACTCACAGAAATCTACCTGCCTCTGTCTCCCAAGTGCTAGCAGTAAAGGCATGCCCCACCAGTCCCAGTGTTGGCTGTTGTTTTGAGACAGGGTCTCACTATGTAGCCCTGGCTGGTTTGGAACTCGGTGTGTAGACCAAGCTGGCCTCAAACTTACAGAGATCCTGCAACTGCCTCCCAAGTGCTAGGATTTAGTGTGCCACCATGCCTGGCTTATTGCTTTGTGTTTTGAGGCAAGCTGTCTCCATGTACAGCCCTGATTGGTCTTCAACTTTTACATAGACCAGCTTCCTGAGTATGTGTTTTCAAGAGGCTATAATACCACTATGTGGCTCAGGCTGGCCTTGAACTCCTAGGTTCAGGGGCTCTTCCTGTCTCAGTCTCCCAAGTTGCAGGTGCATGCTACTGTGTGAAGCCTAGAAGCAGGGCTTTGAAACTTTGTAGACAGAATGACAGGAAAGTAAATAATTTTATTTTTAAATTTTGTCTTATATTTATTTGTGTGTATGTATACATGTGTGTGCACATGCATGCACATGTCACAGCATGAATATGGAGATCAGAAGACAACTTGCAGAAATTGGTTCTTTCCTAATAGTACCGTGTGACTTCCAGGAATTAGATTCAGGTTATCAAGCTTGGTAGTAAGCACCTTAGCCCACTAAGCTATCTTGCCAACCCATAATGATTTTATTCTCACAAATGTCCATTCAAAATGAGCCACTTGTTGGCAACAGCCTGGCATTTGGGTCAGGATCCGAGGTTTTACACAGTATCCTCAACACAGGGTTTTATAGCGCCTTCTCAGTGCTGCAACAAGCTTAAAACATTGTTTTTGCTCGTGTCTTAAATTTAACAATTTAACAGAGGTTCTAAGACCAGCCACTGTATCTTGGGGTATTTTGCTTGTTTCCTTGTGGTTTATTTATTTACTGTTTTTTTTGTTTGTTTGTTTTTGTTTTTTGTCTTTTTGAGACAGGGTCTCCCTGTAGCCCCAGCTGTCCTGGAACTCACTATGTAGACCAGGCTGGCCTTGAACTCACAGAGATCTGCCTGCATCTGCCTCCCGAGTACTGGGATTAAAGGCGTGCGCCACCATGCCCAGCCTACTGTTTTGTTTTTGAGACAGGTCTCACTATGCAGTCCTGGCTGGCCTGGAACTGGCTATGTAGACAAGGCTGGCCTGGACGTCACAGACATCTGCCTGCCTCTACCCTCCTGAGTGCTGGGATTAAAGGAGTGAGCCACCATGCCTGGCTCTTTATTTTCATTAAAAAAAAAAGTCTTTGTATATAGCCCAAGCTGGCTTTTAGCTCACGTGTACCACCATTCCCAGCTTGTGTCCTGCTTTTTTGTTTTGTTTTTAATTTTATAAAAGATTTGTTTTTAAGTATATGTATGTGTGTGAGCACATGTGTATAAGTGAAGGTGCCTGCTGAGGCTAGAGGTCCCCTGGAGCTGGAGTTACAGGCCATTGTGAGTCACCCAGTTTGGGAGCTGGAAACCCAGTTTGGGTGGGTCCTCTGCAAGAGTAGTGTGTGCTCTTAATAACGGAGCCATTTCTCCAGCCCCTTGCTTTTGTCTTGGTACTTGCTTTATAGCCCATGCTGGCCTTGAACTTGCAGTGATCCTCTTATCTTTACCTCTCAAGGACTGGGATTACAGGGGGAGCTGAAATGCCCACATTTAATAGCTTGTATCTTGTTAACAGACAAAGATATATGGTGCCAAGTCCCACACTTGCTTTCTTTGTTTTGTTTTTGTTATAAATTGCTTTCTTGACGGATGTGGTAGTGCACACCTTTAATCCCAGCACTTGGGAGGCAGAGGCAGGTGGATATCTGTGAGTTCAAGGCCAGCCTTGTCTACACAGCTAGGGCCAGCTGGGGCTACAGGGAGACCATGTCTCGAAAAACCAAAAAGAAAGCCAAACAAATAAACAACAACAACAAAAAAATGCTTTCTTAATACTTGAAACATTGAATTGTAGCTTTTTTAATCTTTGTAGTAATCCTATGTATTTTGTGGTATGCATTCAAGATTATTCAGATGACTGGGGATGAATCTCCGTGCATAGAGTACTTCCCTAGCATGCATGAAGCCCCAAGTTCCATCCCCAGCATCCTATAAATGATGAGATGACAAAGGATTGTAATCTCAACACTCTGGAAATGGAAGCAGGTGGATCAGAAATTCAAGGTCATCCTCTGTTACGTATAGAGTTTGAGGTCAGGCTGGGATACACGAGACTCTGTCCTTTTGGGGAGGGGTGTTCTTTTTGAGACAAGGTCTCTCTGTAGCCCCAGCTGTCCTGGAACTCACTACGTAGACCAGGCTGGCCTTGAACTCACAAAGATCCACCTGCTTCTGCCTCCCAAGTGCTGGGATTAAAGGTGTGCGACACCACGCCCTGCGAGACTCTGTCTTTAAATAAAGAAACAAAATCATTGCAAGCAGGAATCAAAGGGCCTCACCAGACTGCTAAGGTCACTGTTAGGAAAGGTGAGGACTCCTGCTTTCCTCTTGTCCCTCATCCATTCCTTATCCTTGCATGAAGCTGCAGAAGGAGCTGGATGTAATTTGCTATATTTTTTGTTTGTTTATTTGAGAGTGAGAAGATTGTTTTGGGACCCAGTCTCACTGTAGACCATGCTGGCCCTGAATGCTCTTATCTTCCTACCTCAGTTCTTGAGTACTGGGATTACAGAAAGTACCAGCATACTTGACCCAGTGTGTTTTAAAAAATATTGTGTGTGTGTGTGTGTGTGTGTGTGTGTGTGTGTGTGTGTGTGCAGCTGTGCACCTTTTAGGACACATATGAGGTTAGAGGACACCATTCAGTGTCTCTCAGCTTCCACATTGTTTTCAGGAGGGTTTCTTATCCACCATGGCATCTGCCAAGGTAGCTAGCCCATGAGCTCCCAGGTTTCCCTGTCTCAGCCTTTGATCTCACTGTAGGAGAGCTAGGTTTACACACAGATGGGCACTGGCTTTACATGGGTTCTGGTGATCAGATCTTGGGTTCTCACACTGGTGTAGCAAGCCTGGTCTGTGTGGGTTTTTAAAACTTGTTTTTCACTCATTCATTTTTATTTTATATGTATGAATGTTTTGTGTGCATGTATGTAAGTGCACCACATGCATGCAGTATCTGTGGAGGCCAGAAGAGGGTGTCCGATCCTCAGAAACTGGAATTATGGATAGTTGTTAGCTTTCCTGTGGGTGATGGGTCTAGAAGAAGCTAGTGCTCTTAACCACTGAGTCTTATCTCCAGTTCCCCAGTCAGGGCATGTGCTTTGGTTGGTTTGGTTTGGTTTGGTTTTCTGTTTGTTTTTTTTTGAGACAGGGTCTCCCTGTAGCTCCAGCTGTCCTGGAACTCACTATGTAGACCAGGCTGGCCTCAAACTCACAAAGATCTGCCTGCCTCCCAAGTGCCAGGTGATTAAAGGCATGTGCCACCATGCCTGGCTTGGTTTGGTCTTCCTGTAGCCCCAGCTGGCCTGGAACTCACTATGTAAACCAGGCTGGACTTGATCTCACAGAGATCCACCTGCCTTCCAAGTGCTGGGATTTTTACCATCATGCCCTGCCAGTGCATGTTTTTTGATAGATGTGTTTGCTTTCTCTCTCAGCCTGTGGCCAGGGCACCTTCAAGCCTCAGACAGGAGAGGGGTCCTGCCAGCCATGCCCAGCCAACAGCCACTCTAACACCATTGGAGCTCCTGTCTGCCAGTGCCGTATAGGGTATTATCGGACTCGGTCAGACCCTAGGAATGCGCCTTGCACCAGTAAGTGACTGTCTATCAGGTGTGATTCATCAGGGAGGACTCCTGGGGAGGATTCCCCCATATCCCTGTTCTAGTTTCATTGCTGTGGTAAAATACTCTGACAGGAAGCAACTTAGGGAAGAATAGGGTTTACATCAGCTTAAAATTCCAGGTTACAGTCCATCGTTGTAGGGAAGTCAAGGCGGGATCTCCAAACAGCTCGTCACGTCACATCTAAAGTCAGGAGCAGAGAGAAATGAGTGCACACATGCATGCTTGACAGCTTGCTTGTGCTCAGCTCCATTTCTCCTCTCATCTACAATTCTGGACCTCCTACCTAGGGAACGGTGCTGCCCACGGTGGGCTGGGTCCTCCCATATCAATTAACTTAAGACAACCACCCAATGTAGACAATCCCTCATCAAGATGTTTCCCTGGGGATTCAAGTTGTGTCAAGTTGACAGTTTAAGCTGACCATCCTAGTCTCCATGCTTCCCAGCTAGCTCCTCTTGACCTTCACCATTAACTTGGCTGCTCATCCCTTGGGGCTGCCCCTCCTACACTCTGCCTGACTCCCCTTTCTCCCACAGCCCCACCATCTGCTCCACGAAGTGTGGTTCCCCATCTGAATGGCTCCTCCCTGCGCCTGGAATGGAGTGCCCCCCTGGAGTCTGGTGGCCGACAGGACCTCACTTATGCCATTCGTTGCCGAGAGTGCCGTCCTGGGGGCTCCTGCTTGCCCTGTGGGGTGGATCTGACCTTTGACCCTGGTCCTCGGGACCTCACTGAGCCCTGGGTATCCATTCGAGGGCTGCGTCCTGACGTCACCTATACCTTTGAGGTCTCTGCCTTGAATGGTGTGTCTACCTTAGCCTCTGGACCAGTCCCATTTGAACCTGTCAATGTCACCACAGACCGTGAGGGTGAGAATGGGGGACCAGGGGCATCATGTGAACAGATAAGAGAGATGTTGCTGGCAAGTGACTGGGGAGTGGGGAGGTCAAGGCTTGTGGGGGATAAAAAAGAGAAAATGACTAAAAAATAGGCAGAATAAAGGGAGGAGGATAATATAGAATAGTAGAGGGGTCTGGGGTGTAGCGCAGTTGATAGAGTGCTTGCCCAGCATGCACCAGACCCTGGGTTTGAGCTGCAGAACCACACACACTGGGCATGGAGGCATACTCCTGTCGTCCCAGGGCTTGGAAGGTACAAGCAGGAGAATCAGAAGTTCAAAGTCATCATGGGCTGCATAGCAAATTTTAGGCTAGCCTAGGCTACCTGAGACTACGTGTGTAAAAACTAAAAATAAGTAATAGAGTGTGAAAGTGATCAGAGTATACCCTATATACATATGGCAATGCCATAATGGAAACCTGCGTACAGTTAATATGCTCTAATAAATTTTAAAAGAAAAAAAGCCGGGTGTGGCAGCACACACTTATAATCCCAGTACTTGGGAGGTAGAGATAGGAGAAGCAGGAGTTCAAGGCCAGCCTGACCTACATGAGACTGCTGAGAGAGAGAGAGAGAGAGCAAGAGAGAGAGAGAGACAGAGACAGAGACAGACAGAGAAAGACAGAGAGAGACAGAGAGAGAGACGGAGAGAGACAGAGTGCTGTGGCAATATATTCCTTTAATCCCAGCACTTGGGAGGCAGAGGCAGGCAGACTCAAATCTCTGAGTTCAAGACCAGCCAGGGCTACATACTGAGACCCTGTCTCAAAAAATTAAAAATAAATAAATAAAAATAAAGTAAATAAATATAAGGAGTATCAAGGGATCAAGGCCAGAATAAGCACTGGGGACAGAGGGAGTCTGTGTATGGGAGTATGTGTATGTTTGCTGTTCTATATGTACAGGTGTACATGTGCACAAAGAGGCCGACCCTTGGTGCCTTTTTTGATCCCTCTCCTCCTTACAGACTGAGGTTGAGGTAGGGTCTCTCGCTTGAACCTAGAATTTTCAGATTTGGCTAGTCTAGCTAGGCAGCTTGCCCTGGGATCCCATCACTGCCTCCTGAGGACTGGGATTACAGGTCGCCACCACACCTGCCCAGCATTTACCTGAGCGCTGGGGATCCAAACTCTGGGCCTCATGCTTGCCTGCCAAGGGATTTGCCCACTGGACAATCTCTTGAGCCTCAAAATCTTTCTTTTTCTTTTTCTTTTTTTTCTGAGACAGGCTTTTGCTGTGTATCCCAGGCTGGCCTCAAACTTGCCATCCTCCTGACTTTGCCTCCTCCATGCTCGAAAGAAAAGTTTAGATTTTTTAAAAATTGTATTTGTGTGTATGTGCCTAAATGAGTTAATGTACACCACAGGCATGCCTGGGGAATGTGGAGCCCATAAGATGGCGTTGGATCCCCTGGAACTAGAGTTATAGGCAGTTATGAGCTGCCTGATGTGGGGACTGAAAATCTAACTGGGATCCTCTGCAAGAGCAGCCAGTGCCCATATTTGCTGAGCCATCTCTGTAGCCCATCAAAAGGAATTCTTGAAAGACTTGGAAGATGAAGCTAGGAATAGCCAGTAGAATACAAATTGGAGTATGCTTGGTGGTAGAGCATTGGCCTAGCATGTTCAGGGCCTGGGTTCTATCCCCAGTGTTTGGGGGAAAAAATGATAAAGTAATTGCTAGACTTTGAAGCACGGCTCCATGACTTTCCTCTTTCCTGCAGTGCCCCCTGCAGTGTCTGATATCCGTGTGACCCGGTCATCTCCCAGCAGCCTGAGCCTGGCATGGACTGTTCCCAGAGCACCCAGTGGGGCTGTACTGGACTACGAGGTCAAGTATCACGAGAAGGTGAGACTAGGCTCTGCCCCATCTGGGGTCAATTGTGGGCATTGGTCCAGGGCTGGGATGTTGGATTTGCAAACATCTGGTAGTTATTTCAATTTCAGGTTGGCTGTTTATTAGCTGTACAACCTTAAGTCAACCTCTGGGCATGAGCCTCAGTTACTATCACCTGTAAAATAGTTATAAGATAGCACCACTTGGTATAAATGGCTGGGGTGTGGCTCAGTGGTAGAGCACCTGCCTAGAACCCCCCAGTGAGGGCCTGGGTGTGTGGCTCAGTGGTAGAGCACCTGCCTAGAACCCCCCAGCGAGGGGCTGGGTGTGTGGCTCAGTGGTAGAGCACCTGCCTAGAACCCCCCAGTGAGGGGCTGGGTGTGTGGCTCAGTAGTAGAGCACCTACCTAGCGTGTGTGGTACTCTGGGTTTGATCCCTAGAACCACAAAGGAAAAAATAAAAAGCTACCACAAGTATTTGATAATACCCTACAACAGTACAAACATTCTAGCAATGGGGTGCACGGGGATGGGGGTGTAGGAAGAGCAGAGAAAAAGGAGTTATTTTATGGCCCTCTCCTTTCTCCTATATAGGGCGCAGAGGGCCCCAGCAGTGTACGCTTCTTAAAGACATCAGAAAACCGGGCTGAGCTCAGAGGGCTGAAGCGGGGAGCCAGCTATCTGGTTCAGGTTCGGGCACGCTCCGAAGCTGGCTATGGCCCCTTTGGGCAGGAGCATCACAGTCAGACCCAGATGGACGGTGAGTTTGGGGAGCTGGGCAGAGATTATTGGGAGTGCTGTCCTCTACCAGGTGGGAAGTCCTGCCTCTGCTCTCTGAGGCACCCCCAAAGTCACCTACTAATTTTTCTCCTGCAACCACAAGGCTTGTTTGAATCTAACAGCTGACTGAATCCTGCTTGCTTGTTTATCAGTCAGGGACCCTTAGCAGCAGGTTGATCTTTAAGTCCCTGTTCTCCTTCTAATAAGATTAGAAAATCATTAGATTTTTGAGGATTACAGGAGGAAATTCATGGTTTTGCAGGGGGTTTTTGTTTTGTTTGTTTTTGTTTTTTGAGACAAGATCTCCTTGTAGCCCCAGCTGGCCTGGAACTTGCTATGTAGACCAGGCTGGCCTCAAACTCACAGAGGTCAGCCTGCCTCCGCTTCCAAATGTTGGGACTAAATGCATGCACCACCACACTTGGCCCCAAATCCATGCTTTCAATATGTTGAATCAATGACTTTCTAAACTTTGTAATTTTTATTTTATTTTTAAATTTTTTAAGATTTTCTTTCCTTTTTTGGTCTTCTTGAGACGGGGTCTCCCTGTAGCCCCAGCTGACCTGGATTTTCTATGGAGACCAGGCTAGCCTTGAACTCACAGAAATCTGCCTGCCTCTGCCTCCCAACTGCTGGGACAAAAG